TGGTATGTAAAAGTACACATTGTATGCATTTTGTAAAATGGTATTACATTTAAACTTCAAAACAATTTTCTCCATTTTTGTGCAATTTAGTCGGAAATAAGCGCAAATTGAGCGAATAAAATGACGTGCGCATGGCATTGAAGTTATTTTCCACACATTCATTTGTACAAAATAGTATGTAAGTCTGGAATTACATATAGGTACATATGACAAGTTTGTAAATACATATGGATTTGTGCTACCACAGTTGCAGATGTGGGCCACTTAGCGCCTTTTCGCTGTTCATCCAATCACAGCCATAAGGTATTTGCTTGAAAAATCAGAATTTGACTTTTAATATATTTAGCAAGGTGTATTTTTTTAGTCCGACCACTGTCGGAAAATTCAGCCTCCATTACGAAACCTCCGACAACGGACTGAGGCTGATCGACTTCGCCGGGGCCCGAAACACGGTAGCAAGCAGTACTAGATTCAAGCATAAAAGATCCACCCAGCTACGTGCCTGTCTCCGGACCGCTATAGGGAACTGAAGAGGTAAGCCAGACGTAAATATTTGCAGCAATAAGAAGAGGCCGAAATACGTGAGTGCTGGCCGACAGGAAAAATACCTGGAAATTTCACCAGAGAATTTGGCGACTTACGGAAGGTTTCGAGACCAGGGCGAACTCCTGTAAGAGCAACAATGGGGACCTAGTTACCGATGTCTAGAAAGTACTTAAATTATGGACGTAACACTTTCCCACCCTACTGAATGGTAGCAGCTCGGAAAGTTGTGGAGAAGATGAAACCGAGCCTCCAGTCAATGTATGACGAAGTCGATGTTCCACCGCCTGACTATGACGAGGTACGAATAGCAATAACGCGCTGAAAAGCAACAAAGGTGTTCTGACCCCATTGCACATTTGCAGCCACGAATGCCAGCACTGAAAGGTCTCTCCCTTTTTGGGTCGAATCAAAACTTGGCTGAGAACGTCAATGCTCCGGCAAAGAATGTATGGATTGGCCTTCCTCAATGTAAATTACGACATTGAAGTAAAGTCAGAAGAAGTGAGGGAAAGATTTCTCAAGATTTTTAAATTTTTACGTTTAGCAAAATCATTGTTACGTCCATTTCGATAGACAGCAATCACACTAATGGCAAAAATAATGGCACAGAGAATTTTTAACAATATGTATATGCAATAATTTTTGATTATAGTTTTTTCCCGCTAGTTTTTTTTATAAAATTATGGTTTATACTTCAGCAAAAAACATAAAATTATACTTTCTAGACTTTGTGCAAAACTCAGGAAAACTCAATAAATTTTTATACAAATTTTCAACTTTTTATTCAGATTTTTTAGAATTTTTTGAGTATGCAGTTTTGTAGCCCATTAAAGTTTAGTGATAGTTTGAAGTAGCTTCGTCGCACAGTATTGCGACTGCGGCCAAAAGTACTGAAATTCGATGATCAAGTATAAAAAGGAATGTTGATGCCATTTACTTCGCAATATATCGATTAGAACATTTAAAGCAATGTTTTTTTAAATTTGTTCGCAGGTTTTACCCAGAGCGTGCTCAAAGTTTATGCGTTTATGAATAATATTATCATATATTTAGTAGTTTTTACTACACACCAACCCTTATCAATTAATTCATCGATGGGAGATTACCGTTACCGTTACCGTTTTTAAAAGGACTTTGGTTTTAAATAAATATGAGGGTATCAAATATAAGAAAAAATTCTGTAGAATTATAACAGAATACTTTTTCTGATGCATAAGGACGAATGGGTGCAGAAAATGTCCTTTAAAAAGTTTTGTCCGTAAAAATCCTTGAAAATTTGCAATATTTATTTTTGAAAAAATTATTGTTTGAGGACTAATATATGTACATACGATCACATCATCGAATTTCGTCCTGCAACCTTTATTAACTTGAAAAGATACAATTTATTTAAAGCGCATTTTCAATACCTATTCGTTCTTGTAATGCAAAAAACTTTATTGTTTTTAAATTCAACAGAATTTTCTCTTTCATTTGGTACCCATATTGTTATTCTACATTGCACTGATTTTTTTAAATAATTTTTTGAATTAATCATATCTTTAACATTTCAAAGTCCTTTGGAAAAAATCCTGACGTCAAAGTGAAAAACTAAAAAGCAGTTTTACTATATTTGGCCCATAGTTTCGTGAGTATATCGATTCTTTCGTGTGTTCTGAAATTTTTATGTTTTTGTGGCACAGTGTTATTCATAGTTTTGAAATATATTTCATGAAAGTAAAAAGTAAAAATAGTTGACATCACTTTCTTTTTCAAACACCTAGGATATTACTGACCATTATACAAGACACTGAGTGAATGGCAAAGCCAAAAAGCTCTACATATTTGTTGATGTGATTTTTGAAATGAACGATACAAAATTAGCCGGTATACTTATTTTAAAATTTTTAGAATCAGTGGTTGAAATTTTATACCGAAAAGGTTACGAAAGCTTTAGATTAAAAATGTGATACTAAATGTCTTTCACTACAAAACGGCGCCAATTTTCTGGGTTATCAAGCCTCTAGCAGTGCAAGATTAATTGTTGTCTTTCACGAAATTCTTTAAATAAATCTTTAACTAAGTACTGAAGTATTTTTATGAATATCACGTTTTATTATATGCTTAAATTTAATTTCCTAATTTTAGTAAGTATTTCATTACTGCATACACCGGAATTTCGGGGGTTTCTACTAGTTTGAATTTCTTATAAAATTAACCTTTAGGCTTTTGCATCCTAGGCATACATCGAAAATTTGTTTTAGAGAATCTATGTGAAATATTTGCAGAAACGATTAAACGATTTGCTGAGCAACCGAGACGTCTGCTTTTTAAATAATTTTTGTAAAGCAAATCGGCAAGTATCTACATATCGTTCCCCGCATGCCAGAAACATGAATGTGTAAAAATTAGAATTTTGGGAAATCAAATTTGAAGTTTTTTTACGAGACTTAACTCTGCATTCATGTATGTAATTGACATTGTGAAATATATGCTTTCCATGTACGCATGGTATTCTGGCTTTTGGTAAAAAAAAGAACATCCAAGGTTAATCAAGTCAACCCAATAACTCAATATGTATTGGTAAATTTGCACATTCATGGTTCTGGCATAAGGATGACGATATGTATTTACTTCACATTTATTAATTTTTTATACGCCTACCCTACATATCTTCGCAGTATGAAAATAGTAGTCGTATTTCGCAGAATTCGGTTCTCAGCACATTTTTAATACATTTTCATTTGAGATAGGGCGTTTTCGTACCGCATTCAGAAATAGGGCCTTCTTAAACCAAATTCTGTGATAGGGTGTTTTTCAATAAAATTCTGAAACAGGGCGTTCTTCAATCAAATTCTGAAGTAGGGCGTTCTTAAAAAGTTTTCTGATATAAGGCGTTTCCGAACTGGCTATCGAGATAGCTCGATCTTCCATTCAAGTGTCGATTTCCTGTTAATATTCCTCTATTTGTTTAGTACTCCACTCTACTTACTAAACTAAATTTATAGATATTTGGCTATTAGTTAAGATTGTCTTTTCAAATATAACCATTTAGTTTACACATATGCATTAATAAGGATTAATCAATCAACTACATTAAAATTTTGAAATACAATTTTCGAGGAATTTTTTTATATGTCAGCCGCCCCCTAAACTCGATTCTGGCGACGCCCGTGTATTTGCAGAACCAGTTTGCAGGATCAATTGTAAACCCGTTCTATGAAATTATTTCTTGAGAAAAAATTAAACTTAGTTTTAGTTTTGATAAACGTTACACATGCATACATATGTACATCCACATAAACTACATAATTTTAATCTTAAAACTCTTTGAAGTTTATTCAATTTTCTGTAGAAGGGGTGTTTACGTGCCATATGGCTCGCAAATCAAATGAGGCAACAAATTAAATTAATAATAAGAAAACAAAGGGCGAGCAAAACAGCGGGCGTGTATACAAGTGTACGAAATCAGTTCTTATATTCATATGTACAAACCTATGTACATACATATGTATACTAAATATGTACTTGAAGCCAACACATCTGCGCTGATAAGACGAAAAATTGTTCTACAACAACTCAAATATGGAATAAACTGTGACTAAAAGTCCCACTGAGCCGCACCAGTCACAGCACTGCCGCTGAGCAACACAAATGGGACCAATAATCGCGCACATGCACTGGTTGCTTATCACCACACGCACACACACAAACACACTAACTAATACATACACGCCATTTTTGCACATTTTCACACACCCGCCAACAAACGGAACCAACCCAACCCAGCCCAGCCCAGCGTAACAGTCACCACCACCACCACCGCCACCCAACCAGCAGAAAAATCGGTTGGCTGCTCGCCAGCTCCGTGGTTGCGTTATGGTGGCGCACTGGTGGCAGGAACGAAACGTCAGAAGCCGAACGTCAGCAAACAGTTTCCGTTCGCTAGCTGCTGTGGTGGCTGCCAGATATGGTAAAGAGTGGCTTGCTGCACACACAGCCAGCAGCAACAACAAATGCAAGTGAAATGAGAAAAACAAAAAAAAAGGTAGAAACACAAAACAACAACATTATGCAGCAGTAATGTGAGTGCTGAAGAAGATGCAGCAGAAGCAGGCAACAGACAGCAGGATAGCAATGTAAGCAACAACAATAACGCTGATAGTAGAGCCCAGCAGGCATTCGAGCTTTAGCCAATCCCAAGCGACATTTGGAGTGGTAGGCGTACACCAAACTGCCATTTCCAAATAATTCACCCTACATACACGCGCGCACACAAGTTTTGGTGAACAAAAACAATACCGTGCACATGTACACACACTAATGTAGGCTGAATAGCGTGCAGACAGACAGTAGTGACTGGCGGCTGGCTGCTGTTGGTCGTTACTAGCTGGCTGGCTGATAGCGCTCGAACGGCGCACACACACTCCCATACGCCAGCACCCGTTACCGCCGTCACCGCTTGCCAAGGCATTTTGTTGGCTTCAAAAACCAGTTGACACATCAGCAGCAGCTACAGTCACATTTGAGCTACTCACAGCAGCGGAGCGCGGCTGGCCAGAGACAGGAGAAAATACCAGAAAGACCAAAGACCAAAAATTGTGCGAGTACTCGTACAAGCAGTCAAACGGAAGCCACAGAATCAGAAGCCGACCAGCACCAACGCTACTCACTCTGAGTCACAGTTGCATACAGACGCAGCTACTAATACCACATTGACTTGCAAGCAGAAGCAGCAGCAGCAGCATCGCGGTGGCGGTAGTGGTGTAGTGCGATAAGCCAAAAAGGGAGAGCGCGCGCGCATACACACAGATACAGCATACGGACACATGCGCAGTATTGCATTTGCACGCGCGCGCTTAGGTATTGGTATCGAGTGGAAAATACATTTGAAATTGAGTTGTTCGCGTGTCGTCAAACCTGAAATCAGTTTGAGACGAGTCGTTGTCCAAAGAACATTGAGAATTGAGACGGACGGAAGCTGTGTGTCCGTTTTGCAACAAGAATAAACGTCAACAAAGCGTTAAGCAAATACGTAAATTTGTAAAGTTAATAAAGAAACAATTTTAAGTGAAATACAGCAGTGTTGCGGACTGCAAGTTAAAGTTAAACAAGAACAAAGTGAATATTCAACCAAATATGTCCTCCAGATCGGCTTCGCCATTAAGCAACGTGACGGTGGACGACGAAATAAGCATAAAAGAACACGGTAAGTGAGCTCTATTAGCGACGGCAAAATGTTGTAAAAGGCAGATTAGGCGGCGGTGGTGAAATGTTTAGCCGACGGCGAAAATGAGTTAGTGGAGTTCTAATAAAAATTAAAATTTTTTACTTATTACCAAAAAAAGCAATTCGAAAAATGTTAAGCAAATGTTTATACTTAATTACAAATTTTTAAAGTTTGTAAAAAAATTTTTTTAATTAAAAAAATGTTTGTTTTTCATTTGTAAGAAAAATCTCATATAATTGTGTTAATTAATAATTTTGTTAATTAATAAAATATTTTTTCCAATTTTTTTAAATTAAATATCTAAAATCTGATTAAAAAATTGGAATTTTAAAACTAAAATATTTTAATTTTTTAATTCGACATAAGTCTGAGTGGGTTCAATAACGGTTTATAAATTTCTTTCCATTAAAAAATTTTAACTAAAAAATAAAAAGAAAATATATATAATACACTTGTGCACAACAGCGCTTGGGTATGATACCAGATATCATTAGTTTAGGATTAAAATTAGGTTTATTTGAAAGCATCAAAGTATTTTTTCTAGGAAAAAAATTAATTTTGTTATGAAAGAAGTTACATAGACAAATTTTTTTTTCGGCAAAACTAAATATTTTTGTTATTCCGTAACATGTCCCAGTTAAAAAAAATGTAAAAAAAAAAATAAAACACAAATTTCAAAAAATCTCAAATTTTGAAAAACTAATCATAAATATATTAACTAAAAACTTATTTTTATTCCCACACAGATTTCGCGCCCGAGTACCTGGTGATCAAAGAGGAGCGCGAGAGCAGCATTTCGCCTATACTGACGCCGCCGCATACGCCGACGGAGGAGCATACGCGTGGCCGCAGCCAACAGCACGCCCACCACGCGGCGGCGAGCAGCAGCAATACGCTGTACGAAATGGAGCAACAACAATTGCAGCGGGAACAATTACACATACAGCAGCAGCAGCAACAACAAACACACATGGCGCTATTGCACACAGCAACGCCAACAACACAACAAGCGCAACGCCGACCCTATCCAGCCGCGCTAGTGGAGGCACAACACCTGCAACAGCAACAGCAAGCAGCGGCGGCGGCAGCGGCGGCGGCGCAGCAACATCACCAACAGCAACAGCATCGCCTGTGGCTACACATGCAACAACAACAACAACAACAACAGCAGCAGCAGCAGCAGCAACAACAACAAGCTGCCGCCGTTTATGCCTACGGCCATGCCACACAATTTCTACCCACCGCCGCAGTGACCGCCGATGCAGTGCAACAACATCAAGCGCTACTCATGAACCAGTGGTTGCGCAGCGCCGCGCTCTATCACCACAGCCACCAACAGCATCCACACGCCGCCGCACCTCACCACCATCACCCGCATGCATTGGCGCCTGGCGCTGGCGGCGCGCATCACATACGCCCCTATCCTGCGCTGCATCCACTTCATCCCGCCGCACGCCTACACGGCCTACCAGCGGCTATGAAGTTGGCTGGCGGCGCGCCCATTGCTGGCAGCAGACCAAAGAAGCAATTTATCTGCAAATATTGCAATCGTCACTTCACCAAGTCGTACAATCTGCTCATACACGAGCGCACACACACCGATGAGCGGCCATATTCGTGCGACATTTGCGGCAAGGCATTTCGGCGGCAGGATCACTTGCGCGATCACCGCTACATACACTCCAAGGAGAAGCCGTTCAAGTGTAGCGATTGCGGCAAGGGTTTCTGCCAGTCGCGCACGTTGGCCGTACACAAGGTGACCCATCTGGAGGAGGCGCCACACAAGTGCCCCATCTGTCAGCGTAGCTTCAATCAGCGCGCCAATTTACGTAGTCACCTGCATAGTCATACCGAAGCGCAGCTGGCGGCGATCAAGCAGAGCGGCGGCAAGTACAATGAGCT